TCCATGGAAAACCAAGCAACCAGGGCCGGATTTACTTACTTGCCGCCTGTATTTTTCCGCCCCCTTCTCATTCGTGTTGAAACATCCATAAAAACCATCAAGTGAACATGCCGGAGGGGGAAGGGTGCATAAGAGGCGTTTACTCGTTTTGGATACATTTTTTGCGAAAGCCCTGTCAACACTACTAGCAAAAGTTCACGGAACTTCGCGTAAAAGTTAAGTTCTGTAATTAAACTTATCTCTTATTTCATTTATATGAAATGAACGAAAAAATTATGAATGAACAAACATAAATGTGGTTTAATAATTTTAACTTCCGCCGCCGCGCTGATCGCGCTGTGTTTGGCGCAATGCGTGAAGTATTCCTACAGTCTTGTATGCGCTATGCGTTTCGCGTCGACCGCTGCTGCACGCACTGTCAGACGCAATGCGTGAAGTATTCATGCAGTCTTGTAGGCGCTATGCGTTTCACGCCGACCACTGCTGCACGCACTGTCTTTGACGCAATGCGTTAAGTATTTATGCAGTTTTGTAGGCGCTAATATGTGTTTCATGCCGACCGCCGCGCCGAGGGTTTCTTCTTTTCATCTCAAGTTCTCGTCATTATTGCTCTCTGCGCCGCGCCGTTCCAGGCAAAATTCCATGTTCGGTTTCTCTCTTAGTCTTAACTCGACTAATTAAAGGTGCTGTCTATTGTATCACAGAGAGACAGCAAATTATAGATATATACTGTCAGGAAATGAGAGATTTTCTCACCTTTTCTCGTTTGTAATTTTTTTTCTAAATCCGATTTTTCTTTATAGCCATATTTAAAAAAATTGCAAAATTTGCCGCCCCCTGAATTTTCCGCCATGGGCCACGGCCCATGTGGCCACCCCCGGCCCTGCAATAATCCGGCCCTGCAAGCAACGCAATTTCTTGAAAAGTTCCTTGATTTTCATCTCTGATGTGAATATATTCTGTATCAATTTCAAACTGTAAAGTTGACTTGTTCCTCTTCAAAAGAAATACCATATAAGAGCAGAGATTTTGAAACACCGCATTGGAGATAGACGGTGTCGCACTTAAGCCGTCGATATTTTTTCTCGACTTTAGATCATTGATTGGAGAAAATTTACAACTAGTTGAATTCAATATTACTCCCAACTCATTTTTGACATATTTGTGACGTGGTACGTTCCTGTTAAACTCGTTTCAGATGGAGCATTGAAATTGCGCGTTTTTTCTTCACTCCACCGATATATTTTTGAAGAGAAAGCCATCCCGATCGGGTAAACAAAAAAGTTGCAGTGTTCGTGGATTTTGTATTAATTATTGCCGGGCTTTGATTAATGGTCCGATTTCATTTCAAGCTCAGCGATGTCGCGTAAAGTTTTCCTTTTTGCACGAGCAAAAAAGTTAACACAGTGATGAATCATATACTCTCGTGCGTGCTGTAGGTAGCAGTCAAATGCCGTCTAGCACCATCGTGGAAAGCTTGATTTCTTCTCTCATTCAGAAATACCGAGGCAATAAAATACTGCCACAATCTGACAAATTAAAAGTGACGTCACAAATTTTGAGTTCTATGGATTATCACGAAGTTATCTCATAATAGGACGACCCATGTAAAGAGGTAACGAATTGCTCGCAGGCATACTTCGTCGTCCCTCTCTAGGTCTACAAATACATCCTAAACAATATTGGACATCAAATTGAGAAAAAAAGGGGAAAAAAGAAGAAGAAAAAAATCGAGTGTCACATAGGGGAGACGTATTCGGGCCATGTCATTATCATTTCCCCCGAATCTGAGCGACACCTCATTGGCAGAATAGAGCAGAGCATTGCGAGTTAGATCTTCGCGTCATCGCGCCTTCAATTTTGCAGACGCAACGCGTGCATCCATCAAGCACGAATAGTTGTATCTCTACGCCGTCATCATCGCCAGTTATTTTCCTTGCTCTATTTCCATATCGTGTTTGATTCGGCTTATTTGTAGTGGTACTTGAAGGGCTGGCCGTATGGGGGACTGATGTCACAGGTTTAGCAATCCTGCGGACCCCAGCTGGTAACCCCTGCCTCATGGGGTAGTGGAGATGGTCACCGGCTTCAAGGCGTATGAACCACCCATTGGAAGGGCAGACAGGGCTCTCAGCTGTAGTGGAAGCAACCTGTCTAGGAGAGGAAACTCCGAAATCAAACCCCGGTCCTCCAGGTTGGGGGTTGAGTCATCGGGCTANTACTTGAAGGGCTACGTGTGCAGCACAGCCGAAGATAGGAGGTGCAAGCAGGCCTCGTTTTTAAACTTTTCTCTCGAATCTGAGTGTCTCCCCGTGAGCAGCATAACGCAGAGCAGAGCATTACGGGTGTATCGTGCCATCGCGTCTTCAATTTTGTAGATGCAACACGGACATCCATTAAACACGAATAGTTGCATCTCTGCGCTGCCATTAATGTGCGTTGAAGTTTCTTTAATTTTTGAAATTTGAGGAAAGTTAAGGTTTAGTAGGCGCAAATTATACTACGGTGCGTCAAAATCAATCATCATTTTGAAAAGAAAAAAACAAAACAAGAACATATTTACAGGTCTCTCCAGCACTCTAAAGGGCGCCCGTCTAAAAATTGGTATATTCACGAGAGTCGTGTCGTTTCAGGGAATTTTCTTCTCACGACTACCTCTAGTAATATCAAGCCGGGTCAAGTTGACCCTACTATCTCTTGTGGGGAAGTTCTGTATGGCGGATGAGGAAGAAGGGTAGGAAAGCGCCAGTATTATGTCAAAAAGGTAAACATTTAAAATAATAGTATTTCTAACCCTTAAAAACGTAGATATAACATAGATAATACTTCAAAAACTATAGAAGTCAATGTATTTGAGTACGGCTCGACTTGGCCCAACTGGGATTTTGCGTTTAAAAAAAGGATTTGGCATCTAAGGTTTAAAGCAGCTTTAAGGATGTCTTTAACGGATCATCAGGAAAAGGAGGATTTTTACTGAAATCGAGTAAACAATGTAAAACAACAGTTATTACAACATGGAAATAGATCCATACGAGAGATTACATTGATTTGTTACTGCATTAAAAAATAATAATGAAGTACTAAAGTAAAGGTTTCATAATTTTGACAAACTCTAAGGGGCAGGATCACATACGACCTACCTCAGAATTTGCAAAGCCTGCAAATGTATATTCTTTATTTTTTTCGCAATGACAGGCCATTGTAATCCCTCGTAAGGATGTGTATCTATTTCGACAGCCAAACTGATGAATTATACTCGAGTCCTGCACGTTCTTGAAACGTTAAGGACGTCTGTAATCCTCCTCTAACCACCGTATAAACCGCGTGGAGTTTCCCATAGGAAGGATAGCCGTTGAAGGAACATCTATATGAGTGCGGACCTGAAAGGCATAATGCAATAATGAAATTTACCCTTTGTGATGAGTTATTTATAGAACTGAAAGGAATTTCGCGTCTTCTTGGAAGCTGAAATTTAGCGGCGGAATTTGAGGTCAAACTCCTCTCCAGCTTCCCTCTCCCCCCCCCCTCATCCTCTGCGGTCCCTCGGATCCCCGTGAGAGGAACGGAGCAGGTTAAATCACTTTACGGTGTCATTATTTCTCGCCGCTTCCTTCCATCTTCCAACTTCCGACAACTTCCGACGGCGTCAAGTAAACAAGGAACTAAATCTTCCGATTTTTTGTTTTCCTCCGCCAACTCGAGTCGTTACACGATGTCGCTATGCAAGTAGCGAACTTTTCAGGGAAAACTGGAGAGAAGATCAAGTAGTCCCTCTGCTCGTAAAAGAGCGCATCTCCGTTTTTATCTAAGATCTGGGAAACATTGATTCATATGCTGCAACGCTACGGAAAAACTTGGTGCGTGTCTCTGAATGATGCCAAATGGACCACTAGACAAGGTACGAAGTTAAGTATTCTGATACATGTTTTATGACCAAAATTTAACGTAAAAGACGATTTACGCAACGAAAATTACTGGAAAAGACTCCTAACCAAGATATTTAATGTTTCTTGACTTATGAAAACTCAATGGTCTACGTAAGTCAGATCGCAAACTAAACTTTACCGTGGCAGTCTCTGCAATACGAAAATATGGCAATCTCAATCTTAACGCTTTGGCTCAGCTGAAGCAAATTGTTTACACTTCGACCAATAAAGGGTGGGAAATGATCAATGTTTGATTAAGAAGCCTTCCAAAACCGTTGTAGTGCGCGATTTGACTCACGTAGAGTATTGTGTTTATTGTGACCGGGCAATTCAAATGTCCCGTAACCAATGTAAAAAAAGTTAATATCTTAGTTAGAAGTTAATTTCAGTAATTTTTGATGCAAAAATCGTGTTTTCCGTGAAATTCTGGTTTAGAAGCATGTAATAGAATGCTTAAATTCGAATCTTGTCAAGTGGTCCATTTCCTGTGATGAAATACGAATTTTTCTGGGTTATTGAAGATTTTTCTTCCGATTTTGCCGTAAAAGCATTGCCTCGTGCAAATACGCAAAAATCTGCTTGCTTATTTGTGCATTTAAGGTGACAATGAGCAGAGTGTAAAAATGAGAAGTATGATTTCGAGCACAGGTACTTCAAACCCTCTTGAAACTATCTTTATAAAGTGGGTATAGAAGAAATAGAATAGACTCTCAATGTGACGCGATAGAAGAACGTAATAGCCAGTGAGCAAATATTGCACAAATGTCAAAACGACAACCGGTAGTCCAGTTAGTTTATGATACCCTTGGTAGTGACCTAAAGCTCAGTGTCGGTTAAGAAATTCGAATAGGCTCGAATATGAATGAGTGAGGCGTGTCAATCGGCACCGAAGATAAGTCTTCTGAATTGCCCTTTATCTCATGAAATTGATGC